CATTGTTAGCATTGTATAATACTTAAACAAGGTACCTCTGCAAATGAATTATTCTTAGTTATTTTTTTTTCTTATTTTAATTTATTTCTTCCGAAAGTGTACTCTCTATCACATATAATTCAACTGTCTTAGTTAGGCCTAGGCCTAGTCTTATGCCTCATCGTCCCCCGCTACACAGTACATCAGCAGCCCCTCCCCCATACAGTACAGATGTTTACTAGGTTACGACGTGATTGCACCTTCTTTCCCAGGTGTTCATGTAACATTGACATAATTGTTAGCTAACCAGTTGTGTGTATTTCCTGTCTCTTATACACATCTAGATGTGTATAAGAGACAGGCCTAAAAACCTCAAATTTCGCGAGCTTCGCGTGCATTTCTTGTTAACATGGGCCAATTTCCTCTAAAAATTGCACATTTTAGGGAGTTTTGATCAATTCCAACGAAATTAGAATTAAAAACACAGGGGGACAAGGGGAAAATATCCATCTTTTCGAGAAAATCTTTCCCCACCCCTTGACAAATGCATCCTCTGAAAGTGCCTAAAATTCTCAAATTCTTTGCGCGCATTTCTTGTTACGGTAGGCCAATTTCCTCTATAAATTGCACATTAGGGTGTTTTCATCAATTCCGACGAAATTAGAATTAAAAACACAAAAATATTTTGCGCGCTTCGCGCGCATTTTGTAGGGTTTTTTAGGTTTATCCTTTTAAGTTATTTAAACACATAATATTCCTGAACTCAGGAAAGACAAAGTTAAGGTAGATCGTTTTAACCGAAAAGAAGGGCCTCAATGTGTATTGATGGTGAAAGAATATGTTTGTAATAAATAAAACCATGACGAAAATGCTTATAATTTAGTTTCAAACACACGTGTGTGGCCTATATTATAAATAAGATAAGCCCTATGTCGTATTGTTTTCTATAATATGGGGAGTGGGGTGGGGTGGGGTGGGTATGGTAAATTACTAACCGGGAAAATAAATACCCACTCTGAGCCAAGACACCTGTTACGCGCCTGGTGTTAGCGCCAATGTGTGCCCTTGTGCGGACAGGGGATGTGCCCCCCTCTGAAGCTGGAAACCTTGTTTTTGCAAAATAAATTGATGCAATTTGCTATTATAGGCCTAATCAATAAATTCCTCATCAACCGATATAACCTTAAACATTTTTGGAATTGACATAAAATTACTGATGTCGTACACACCCTTCAGTGTGAAAATGTGGCTTGCTTTGCAAGCACATCTAACATCTAAGGAAAGAAGAGCTTAGATTGGTACCAGATAAAATAATTTTGTTATCAACATTAATAAATTATGCTAATTTTCATCTTTGTAGGCGCATAAGACAGTGCAAATTATTTCTGTGACAGTCTTTTGAAGTGTGTAAAGCTCCATTTTATCCCATACATAGTCAAAATATTGGGGGGGGGGGATAATACAATGGACCATTCCCTTGTCAAATATTGGGGGATATATCCCCCATCCCCCAGGGATCTACGCCTATGCTCACTTGGCGCGAATGTCCACCGGCCCATGGAGAGAATTGGTTTTATACCTCCATAGTCAGCCATCACAGTGCTATCTGCGAGTGGCGCTTGTCATGGAGCTGGCCTGCACGACTGTCAATCTCAGGAGCCCACAGGCCCACCATTTCCGAAATGTTTATATTAACTACATTCGTGTTCAACATCACATTAGTACAATTCTATACAATACAATGACATCAGTGAAACATAATTTACATTACTCAGGCATTTGCAGTTCGTTTTGGTGTATCTGGCGAATAATAAAGCTATGGCTGTACCGAGTCACATTAAAGAGCATGGCATAGGCCTGACATTGTAATTTTTGTTATTTGTTTGTCTTTTAAATAATCGTATTCCTTTTATTTATCGATCAGTCTTATATCTCATGCCTGGATTATGTCAGGTACGATTCGTCTGCAGAAGGCCAGTTTGCCGAATCCCAGATTGCCGAGTCCACTTTGCCGAATCCCAGTTTACCAATTTTCGACCGACATACTAAAACAGTTTGCCAAATTCGCTATTCACATTCGTGGGTAAGTACAAAGGTACCGTAGTTCCTATCTACGGTATTTGATATGGAGAGGGCTGATGAGTGAGGCCGTAAAGTTCGAGGTGCTCGAGAATAAAGAAAGGAAGAGGCAGCCAACAAAACATGACAAAAGAATGTGAAATGAGGTGATTTTTAGCAACTTTAGTGTAAAAATCTGCGCTCTTATATACACTAAATAAAAAATGTAAATCACTGACAAATGGTATGGGACAAAAGATCAGTCGAACAAAATTTTATGTCGATTTAACATTAATGTGTCCGATCAAAAATATTATGCTGTTGTTTGCTTTTAAATTATCCTTTGCAAAATGGATTTCGGCAAACAGGGATTCGGCAAACTGGATTCGCAAACTTAGTTTCGGAAATCTGGCCTAGATCCGATTCGTTCGCACACAATGTGTAAGCATCGAGTGGTTGAGTTTACGTCTTTGGAATCTCTGTCATTGACGTATCTTCCTGAATACCGGTAGAGGATTCGTTTTCATTGCTTCGCCCAGCTTTTTTACACCCACAGGGGCAACAACTGAAAAGACTACAGATGGCTTCGCGGAAGTCAGGGAGATTTTTCCAATAAATGATTGGGTTCAACGCTGAATTTAGCAGTCCCAGGTTGAGAAGAAAGCATGCAACAGTAGTAGCGTAGTAACACTGGCGTTCGTCTGGTTCGACGTTGATGTAAATTTCCCATCCAATTCGGATTGCTTCAAAACTCCACGGGAACCAACACAATACAAACGTAAAGACGATAATACCGTACGCGCGCAAGACCACCTTTGTTCTTTGGAAGTCTTTTTTACCGATGTATTTTTGCTTTTGCAAATCCATTTTACGCATAGAGTGAAAGATAGCAACATACAGGCATACTACAGCAACCATTACAATAATAACGCTTAACGGTCCAACAGTGTATAGTATCAATATGTACGCGTACGGCTTCATCGCCCATGGCACAAACAGCGCTAAAGTTCCAACCCAGAGTACAAAACAAATACAAATAAGCGGCGCGCTCCTTCTTTCTTCATCTCGTTGCAGTCGCTTTGTCATCACAACTAAAACATAAAATCTCTCTATCGCTATCAATAAAATAGTCAAAACAGATAAAAGTAACATGGAAAAACTAACAGCATCAGCAACACTGGGAGGGCCTAGTATTTGGATCGGTAACATAATTCCAGTACAGAAATCAGTCAGAGCTAGGCTACAAATCAGCACATTGCGCCTTTGACGCAAAGTCTTGACCCGATAAAATGCAAACAGAACGATCGTGTTCTCGAACAAAATACAGAAGCAGAGGAAAATTAGCTGAATAAAATATATTAGAAACACTGTCTTGTTTTTGTATAAGTCAGTTGTTCTTACGTCTGGCAGACCACAATCATCTGGGTTAAAATTTGTTTCATTTCCGGAAGTCTCCATCGGAGCAAAAGACTGAAAAAAAGTAAAGCAAATATTTCAAAATTAATTCTCATATCCTGGAATGTGTACACACAATGCATTGAAATTAAATGACCATTTTAATGACAGACATTATCAACATTTGCTACGACAGTAATTGTATTGATTACCAGCATACTTAAGGGGCTACCGTACTCGCGCGAATAAGCGCCCCGTTTGAATAAGCGCCCCTCTCGAATAACCGCCCTTCCTAACGTGAAAATTTCCTTAAGCGCCCCGTTTGAATAAGCGCCCCGGTCAATAATATCGTAAGATTTCCTTTTTAGCAAGTCAATAATCTAATCAATACTGGACTGTGCTGCAGAGTGCGAAACACATTCTTTTTTTTAGGTCAATACCAAAATGAGGATATTTCTCTTGGACATGAGAGCTCCGATACCTGGACAGACAGTATATTTCCAACTTTACACTTTTTAAATATTTGTCTATCCTCTTTTTCTTTTTCCGACCTTTAACACATTCTCATCTGAGTTTTCAAGAAAAAATACATTGATCCTGCTACCCTGTTAATCTCAATGGGCCGATGGCCAAGAAGCTAACCACTACCCACCACCATTAATTGCATCTGCTATTTTTGCTGTTATGTAAATAGGCCTAATCACGCATTCTTGTCAGCCATGTTCTCTGGAGGATTATTTTTTCCGCCTAACCACCATTCGTAATGTCCTTTTCATTCAAAAGTGCCTCTTGAATTTAATAATTTTCCATAAGAACCCCTCGATTTTCATCTTAAAATTAGTAAGGTTGTTTGATGTTAGTTATTATTTGTCTCTTTCTATGTGTATATGTTTTTCTCCAACCTGCTAGTTGAGGTTCTTATCTCTGTTGGTTGAGAATTAAATAAATAAATAAATAAATAAATAAAAATCTATTTCCATAAGCGCCCCCTCAATTTCCACTCTGTTTTCATAAGCGCCCCATTCAAATAAGCGCCCGAATTCGAATAAGCAAAAATATTTTAAGCGCCCGGGCGCTTATTCGCGCGAGTACAGTATTCAAGGAGCCAAACGATCAAACTGCAATGGAGGACGTTGTTCAGTTAAGCCACGCCCTTGGATATTGTTGCCAAGGTCCCACACAAAACGACAGGGTTAAAACAACATGCGCAAACACGTGCGTTTGTGGGACAGCACGTGTGTTTGTGAGCGCGTACGTATTTCTGGCGCTGTTCTAATTGGTCAGTTGTTAAGTTGGATTAAATCTGAGGCTCCCCGAGTTTGAACCGGGGCCTGCACTTCAGCTCAAAAAGCAGGAACAATCGCTCTCACTGGTCAACCGGCCATAATAAAAACGTCAGATTTACGTAATATTATTAGCTGTTATCTGTAAGAGGGATGATCTCAGGATTGTCTCCAGATTCTATAAATATTCTATAGATATTATCCTGTCACTGGGTTATTATAAGCACCCATTAAACGACTCTATACAACAAATTAATACACATCATAATGGATACAGGTTGATGAAATCGCCTTAGGGCTTAACAATAATTATGATAGAATTCCAACCAGGATTCAGATAGCCATTAAAGCGCTTAACAAAGTAATGTGAATGTTATGCAAATG